CAAATTTTTCGTATGGCATCATAGTACGGGTTTTGTGCTTTGCTGTGGGGGTTGTCTGCGAAGTTCGAATCTTTGGTTTTCTCCGCCGGAGTTTCGCCCTTCCGCCGCCTCCCCATCAATCAGCTTCTCCTCACAAACCCGCCTCCAAACGCCATTACATTGTAAATTGCAATTTTGTAAATCTGTAAAAGGGGTTCCCTCTTAGATTTCTGTCGTAGTCATGATTTCGGATAGGCAGAATGCCCAAAAATATCATATGATTTCGGATTTGTTCAGATCTAATTTGAAAATGAGGTGAGGAAAAGGAAAGCTAGGTAGCGGTAAGATTTTGTAAATTTGAGGAGATGTGAAGGTTTATTTAGTATATAATACCCGTCAGCGTCCAGTAAGTAAAAATGGGTTCACGATGTTTCAAAAGTCAAAGTCTAGGAGAAAATTTTTTTTTTTTTTTGACAATAAAGGAAAATGCCATTAAAGCACACAAGATCAAGTTCTGGGGCAAGCCAACCCCATCAGCTAAACAAAGCAGTTCAACATCTGCAGGGCAGTTATACAAGATAACAAAATTCGATGAAGACTGAGCACCTTTCTTCGCCATGGTCTGCAATCAAGAATGAGAGTACCATGGGGTGTTGACTATTAGAGGCAGTAGGGATTATTAACTGAAAAGTAACATAATAGTCAATTTCAACAATAATATGATTGGAGTGCAAATTGGAAGCCAGCTGGAGTACATCTCTAGTGGTGAATCAGATATTTCCAGCATATCCAAGAACCCAATGGCCTTGCAAAATTTGAAAGGTTTGTATTCTTGTCGCATTTGTTCAAGAATATTAAATATTTTAGAGCTTCGAATTTTATTTGAATATTATAAATAAATATAAAAATCAAGTTATTTAATTTTATTGTTAGATTTTACTCTATAAATTTTATTATAATTTAATATTTAAATTTAAATTATATCTAGAGAAGTCCTCGGCGGTGTGGTCCAGTGGCCACCAATATTTTCGCGAGGGTATTTTTATGCAAGTGTAAGAGGTGTAGGATTCAACTCCTATTTTTGTGTTCAAAAAATATTAAAATATATCTAAAAATAAAAAATGAAATTTAAAATTTATATTTTACTTTTTTATATACATTTTTTATATTTATATCTCTTAAAAATCTTATCCCACCCGCACCACTAGTATTAATACGTTATAATTTTTTTTCTTTTTTTTATCTTACAATTTTTGGTTTAATCACTTTTCTTTCACTAGTATTAATATGTTACAATTTTTATCTTACTTTTATGTTTAATCACTAGTGTTAATACCTTACAATTTTTATTTTATTTTTATGTTTGATAACTATTGGTTAAAGCTGAAACTAAATTCATAATAACCAAAAAAATTTTTTATCTATTTTAGTTGTGGTTTTGGTTTAACTTCTAAAACCAAAAAAAATTATGTTAGTCAAATATCGGTTTTAATTTCAACTAAACCAATATTTGCCCAC